AATCAGATCACCACTCCTTTAACTTATTATGGGGATGGATGCAGTGGAAATACGACGTCACTGGCTGATTACTTGTGTACTACCGTGTTTCCCCGAAAATAAGGCATCCTCCGAAAATAAGACCTCGCACATGGAAAGATAAGACATCCCCTGAATATAAGACCTAGCGCAACTTTGGGAGAAAAAAAATTAATATAAGACACTGTCTTATTTTTGGGGAAACAGGGTAGTTCAGGAGTCACCTCTCCACAATAGCAACACACTAAATTCGCTTAGAGTCGTCCAGGAGCCTGTCATTGGAGTGCAGGAAGATAAATGGTTGTCATGCTACAGAAATATCAAATGCGCCATTCAGTCCCACCGAGGAGTAATCCCATCAGTATGATAAAATCCTTTTATCTCCTGTTGGTCTGCCCTGGATGAACACTGCAAGTCCTTCCTCTTCACCTTTTTTAAATGCCTCCTGCAGACTAACTTTTTATTCCATCAGCACTCCGGGCAGTCACGTTACAGGGAGATGGACTAGATTATGGATTTTCAGACCACTCCTGAGGATACTTTTCTTTAACTTGATTGAGCTTGGATGTTTCCCAAGACTCTATCTATATGCTTCACATAGTACCTCTTCCAGCGGCTGCCTGCTATAGATGGGCAACCTCCACGGTTCTTAAATCTGAGCGCAGGGATCACTGGGGAAATTTGTTGAAAATGCAGATTTTCAAGTTTGACCCCCACAGATTCTGACTACGGAGATCTGGGGATGGGCTTCTTCGTTCTTACCCACAGTAGGGGAACACCCTGTATGTGTGAGTTCTTAGTAGTTTCATTTCCAAGGGCCACTCTATTGCTGAAGTCTACGGTCCTCTAAGAACTAAATAAAACAGAGGTTTGGTTTTAAAGCTGTGGAAAATTTAAGTATCCATCACCGATGTTTAAAACAGTCCAGATTCTCACAATTAACCCTTGCTTTTATTTTCTTTGTCAAAACGCTCTGGGGAAGCAGTGGTCATGTTGGCCGCGCAAAAAGCAAGTTCTCCTTATTCTAGGATGTCGTGAATATCCACTTCTCCTTCTCCACTGCTCTGGTTTAAGACTTCCTCATCTCTCATCTGGACAGCCACAGATTTCTTCAGACTCTCACCCCACCCCCTTTCTCCCGGGGTGCAAATTGCTGGTGGAGCTGCTGGAAGCTATTGTAGGATTTGGGGAAGAGGAAATACCATGGTCACAAGCATCTCAGAGAATTCATTGTGACAGGATGGGAGATGGATTAGATGGGAACATTGGACTTTTCAGGGAGCGCGTGTAGTTAAAAAAGAAGAAAAAGCTAGTATGAGAAAGAAATAGTAAGTTTGGAAAGTGGGAGACATTTTCTAATTTTTTTGTAACATAGAATATAATGCTTTTTAAATATATATAATATATATAGTTTATTGATTTTTTTTTTACAGAGAGGAAGAGAGAGGGATAGAGAATTAGAAACATTGATAAGAGAGAATCATCAATCAGCTGCCTCTTGCACACCCCCTGCTGGGGATGTGCCCACAACAAAGGTACATGCCCTTGACCAAAATCGAACCTGGGACCTTTCAGTCCGCAGACCGACGCTCTATCCACTGAGCCAAACTGGTTTTGGCATAATGCTTTTATTATATTTTTGGGGGACCTGATTCCATCGTCACAGCGTGTGTTGTGTTCCAGCCTTGCCTTGCATCACATGCCTTTGCACATGCTGTTTCCTCTCCCGGATGCTACCTCTCTTTTAACAGTTATGGAGTGCCTTTTTTTTTTTTTTTTTTTTTTTACAGAGAGGAAGGGTGAGGGATAGAGAGTTAGAAACATCGATGAGAGAGAAACATTGACCAGCTGCCTCCTGCACCCCCCCCACTAGGGATGTGCCCGCAACCAAGGTACATGCCCTTGACCGGAATCGAACCCGGGACCCTTCAGTCCGCAGGCTGATGCTCTATCCCACTGAGCCAAACTGGTTTTGGCTATGGAGTGCCTTTTGCATTCTCTTATTAGAATGTGAAGATACAGGGATGAATAGGATTAAATGGGTCCCTTTCCTGATCGAGCTTACAATTTAATGGGGTTTTGGGAAATGAGATACCTAATAGAAACCCATACTGTAGTTTAGTGGTAATGGGGGAAAGTGTTAAGGAAAGTGCTCTGAGTGGATAGAAAAGGGGACCTTAACTGAATCTAGAAAGTCAGGGTCGTTCCTCCTGAGACCTGAAGAATCGTAGGCATTAACTAGAAAGTTAGGGAGCTGGGAAGAGGGTGTTGTTGGTTAGGGGAACACCTTGTCCTTAGAGCCGTAGGCAAGGAGGAATAATCAAGAAATTCAAAGGAGGTATGTGCAAACGGAGGTTAGTGAGCCGGAGGGAGAGGCAGCAACAGGATGGAGCAGAGGCAGGCAAAGGCCTTACGGTTACAGAGATGTATCTACACTGTATCCAGGGAGCAATGGGAAGGCATTGAGGGGTGTACAGGTAGAGGTGAGGAGTGAGGTTACACACTCAGGTTAATGTTTGAAAATGGCGACTGATTGTTTGTGGAGAAACACTGTAGGGTTCAGGATAGAAATCAGTAGACTAAGCAAGCTATTGTGTAGACCAAGCATGTCAAACTCAAAGGCTACCATGGGCCAGGTAAACAAGGATTAAGTTTATGTGGGCCGCAAAAAAACCCCAAAAGCTTCAGTTTTCATAGAAACATAGGTTTACTTTGATAGAGGCATGCTGAATACAAAGGGCTGAAATAAATGAGTAATCGTTAACATAAGAAAATAGAGCATTTTAATAAAAATTAATATTTCTTCTTGAACATTAACTTACCAGATATAGAATAACTGCACAAATTAATAAGCATAACACAAATAAACCTATTTTTCTTGTTCTCTGAAAGCTGAAATATTATTCCCTGTTGCGCACACCAAACAAGTCAGTCCAAAACTAATGACGTGGCCATCGGCTGCTAAAATATTTGCTGCTAGTATTAGTGGAGAGAAATGGTGCACCTGTGTGTAAAGCACGTAAGAGAAATGAATGCAACACGATTATAGTAATTAGTCATTAGTGAAAGTTGTAGTTAGTTATTAATAATTATATAACAATATTGTAAAAATTAAGTTACAAAGTTTTTATTAAAACGTTTCTTACCTTCAGTTACATTGGCTGGGCTGCAAAAATATTCGTTGTGGGCCATGAGTTTGACATGCTTGGTGTAGATTCATTAGACTGTTAGTTCGGGTGAGAGATGATGGTGATCTGGACTGGCTGTTAGGATCAAACATGGAGAGAATTGACTGGTTTGAAGAATTTTATAGCTTGAGTTGGTAAGACATAAGGAGAGATGGAGTAGATAGAACTGGAGTATGAAAGAAACAGATGTTAGGGATGGCTCCTGGATTATGTGGATTGAATTGGATATGGATAATAGTCATTTTTATTGAGAGGAGCAGGTTTGGATCTATTATGTGAAAAGCAAAGCTGACAGCTGAGGGAGAACAGCTCTTCATGTCTTTGGGAAGCTCGTTTTGCCTATAGTTGCTGCAGATCTATTTTTCCCCCCCCCAGTGATCAAAACAAATAACAAGGATGAGAATTTACTGTCTATTGTTTGTTCCTGTCAAGCTGAAAAAGCTAGGTGACATGAGGACCAAATTTTGTTCTGTTTCTTTGTAGCTAAGCTGGGAAGAGCTGAACAAAAATTTCTTTGGTCCTTTTATTTATTAATGCCCAACATCAAAATAGTGCCTTTCTCATACCAGCTGGGTTCATAAAATAAACAGTTATATTAGTAACTATTTTTATTTTTATTTTTGTAAAAGAAATAAATGTTCAGTTCTTTTCTAAGGCTATTTATATTCTGTTTCATAAAGCTGACTGTGGTGACGCAGAACCTAGGTTTAGGGAAATAAAAGACAGGCTAAAGACAGGATAGGCTAAATGGGGAAGACTTTTTTTTTTTTCTCTAAAGAGTTGTATGAATTTATTTTAGAGGGAAATTTTTCTTTTTAAGAGTGCTCAAGACAAGTTTGTTTTTAGAGGGGAACCTAGTGGAAAGTTTTTTTTTTTTACCAGGAACTCACTGACTCAAACAGGAAATGTACTTGTTTTTAAACTTGGATTTTATTTTGTAATGCCATACTGTGTTACATTTATTAACAGACTCTGACTGCTGGTATCCTTATATCATCTGGTGTGAATAGGCGCCTTTACTCTGTATACTTTATTTGGCTGTAGAGTTAACAATGAGAACAAATTTTTGCGTGATGTAAAATATGGCCTACGTTAGGAGGGTGAACAGTGTCATAACCACATCTACATCTGTCTTCCCACATCTCAACGTGTTTTCGTTTACCTGTTCCACCTTTTATTATTGCAGATGTTTATTTTCAAATCGGAGTAGCATGAAATGGCGGGAAAAACTTAATCATGTGTAGTCCAGCTCTCAAAGGAGTTATCAGCCTCCGTCATCAGTTTAGTATTCCCTCAGCCACCCAGGGTCCATCCTTAGAACCTTTGAGCTCACCCTAAAGAGCAAATAAAGATCTGTGAATAAAGGTTACCTTTTCATTTATTGTAAGAAATGCTTAGGGAAAGGATACATCACTTGCTGAGTACTCTTAGCAGCAGGGATAGGGACTCTGTGAGTAAGATGTGGTGATTATTTTAGCAGCAAAAACAGCTGCAGTATTTGATGCTTCTTCCTTAGTACCAATCTGTCTGTGGGTTACATGCCTTTTATCTGTTTTGGGACCGGGGTCAGAACAAGTCCGTCTGTTCGGTCGCCCCCGGGTTACATGCCTTTACACAAAAATGATGGTGCAAATTTGCCTAGACCTGGTAACCTGCCGCCGCTCGTTCTACTGAAGAAGTCACAGCTCGGGAGTTACCTTTTTATACGCTTTGCTCTGCATTTTGGCTCCTAAGAAAACGTAGGTCGTCCAGGAACATAATTCTAACCGTGCAAACTCCCACGTTTTGTTCCAGGTCGGTCTTCTCTCTTTCCCTTCGAAGACGCCTTCCTGGACGACAGTCATGGCGACCAGTCCTTGTCCTCTGGCCTCAGCTCCCCCACTCGCTGTCAAAACGGGGAGCGAGTGGAGCGCTACTCCAGGAAGGTGTTTGTGGGAGGCCTTCCCCCTGACATCGACGAAGGTACTGTGCGTTCCCGGATGACTTTATAAAGGCCAGGCTGGTTCTTTGTGTGATGGAGCCGGCCTCTGCTCTCCGAGGCAGCTTTAGGTCGTTCATCTCTCAGTGGGCAGGGGGTGGGAATGTTCAGTGGATGGAGCAGCAGTAGATTATGTACTTCAGGTCTACTGTGTAGATGCGTTTTATACACAGCAGTCTCCCTACCGTGTCCCATTTCCTGGTTACTACATTAGAGCTCACTCTTGCGAAACTCTTCCTGCAAGCTCACTATTGTGCGAGGTGCTTCACATTGCGGCATCTCATTTAATCCCCATTGCTATCCCATAAGGCATAGCCTACCAACTCCATTTTATAGATGAGGAAGCTGCGGGTCAGAGAGAAACAATTTGTCCAGGGTTATGTAGCTGTGGAACTCAGCACTACAGCTTTTGCTCATGTCCGTTACACCATACTATCTCATATCCTATATAATAAAACCCTATTATGCAAATCCACCAAGTGGTGAAATGGCTGGTTGCTATGACGTGCACTGACCACCAGGGGGTAGTCAACGCAGGCACTGCCCCCTGGCACTGCTCCACGAGGGGAGCGCCACTCAGCCAGAAGCCAGGTTCATGGTAGGAGCATTTCCCCTCTCGGCTGCAGGCGGGCAGTAAGGAGTGAGGGGTCCCAGACTGCAAGAGGGCCGTCTGACCGCCACTTAGGCCTGATCCCCATGTCAGACATCCCTCGAGGGGCCCCAGACTGTGAGAGGGCACAGGCCAGGCTGAGGGGACTACCCCCACCCCCCAAGAATGCACAAATTTCATGCACCAGGCCTCCAGTTTTAATATAGATGCCTATTAATGAGAGCCTCTCTCTTGTCGGTAAGAATGAAGACTAATTAGAAACTTTCTTAATGATATTTTTGAATCCTACCGACCCAAAAGTAAGTTTTTCACCTATGCCTAAAGCCAGTTAGCACACAGTAGGTTGTCAATAAATATTCGTTGAATGGATAAATGAGACAAAATTATAACAGTTAAGGGGTAAAAACAACTCTAGTTCTAGGCCTTGGACCTGCTATGAAATGTTTTTTTTTTGTGTGTTTTTTTTAAAATATATATTTTATTGATTTTTTACAGAGAGAAAGAGAGAGGGATAGAGAGTTAGAAACATCGATGAGAGACATTGATCAGCTGCCTCTTGCACATGCCCCACTGGGGACATGCCCGCAACCAAGGTACATGCCCTTGACCGGAATCGAACCCGGGACCCTTCAGTCCCCAAGCCGACACTCTATCCATTGAGCCAAACCAGTTTCGGCTGCTATGAAATGTTTAAAAAACTGTTTTGCCAGCATTATTCTAGCTCTGACATTTTTCTAATTTATCATACGTTTTGTGTGTGTGTTGAGAGAAGAATAGTCTCTAAAAATAGTTTTATTTTAGACTTGCTGCTTTAAAGTTGTACACATATGGAGACTCATTTTCCTCTGAACTGTTCTTGTGCTAATGTTAATTTCATTTATCAAATGGATTTTTCTTTAAGACAAAGTTTTGATCATGGCTAAGAGAGTGGCAACTTAAACCTGGATAGGAGCTAAGTTATAATCTCCTGTTTTGAGTCAAAAGTCAGAAGGAAAAGAAAAATTTATTGAACTCCCAACTTTTGAATTTTTTTCTTTATAGGCTGTGTAGTAGGTGTGTATGAAAGAAACCATTGGCTTTTAAGTTTTCTTAACCCACCAAATAGAATTATCTATGTATTTCCCCTACTCCTCACCAAAAGAATCATAACTATTTATAAAATAGTTGTACAGATTAATACTCTTTAGATTAATAATAATTAGTTAGGGTTAATAATCTAAGAGATTATTTTACACAAGTAAAAATATTTTAAATATTCTGTGTACTTTTGCCTTCTTTCTTTTTCTCTCTCTCTCTATTAAGGTATTACATGTGTGTTCTTATCCCTCCACTGCCCCACCACCACCCCACTCATGCCCTCTATCCCTGTCTGTGTCCATTGGTTAGACTTATACGCATGCCTACAAGTCTTTTGGTTGATCTCTCCCCCTTACCCTCACCCTCCCCTCCCTTCCCTCTGAGTTTTGATGGTCTGATTGATGCTTCTCCATCTCTGGATCTGTTTTTGTTCATCAGTCTTTGTTGTTCATTATATTCCACAAATGAGTGAGATCATGTGATATTTATCTTCCTCCAACTGTGCCTTTTTTCTAAATGCAGAAAACATTCCTATTTTTAGAATCTCCATTTTATTTGACAGGAAGGTCACCTTCGGTAACGTCAGATTTCCCCCCTCCCAAATCTTTACATCAAGTGAAGTGGCAGCGAAGGGAACTGAATCACAGTTACAGTCACATCCTGCGTGGGTGAGAGTGAATGACCAAAAGTATCCCCCCAAACGGTTGGCATTTTGCTCCGTAGGTTTGCCTTCCTTACCGATGCTTTACAGAACAGCTCTCTGAACGTTTCTTATAGGAAAAGGCATGTTTTATGCTGTTCCGTTTGCGGTGTTCGTTTCTCTTTTGCTAACATCCCTTCTCTGTTTTGCAGATGAGATCACCGCCAGCTTCCGCAGGTTTGGACCTCTCGTGGTGGACTGGCCTCACAAAGCCGAAAGCAAGTCATACTTTCCTCCGAAAGGTAATGAACACCCGGGACAGATCCCCGCTGCCGGCCTGCTGGAGAGCCAGCTCGATGGTTCAGGAAAAGGCAGCCTTTCAACTCTTGAAATAGCTGTTGACATCCCCACCCCCCAATGAGAGAACATTTAACATTGGTCCTCTGCTCGTGTCTCACTGTTTCTCACTGGAAGACACTGATTGTATTGGGTCATCTACTCTATTGACAGTGAGGCCCTGTGAGTCTGTTGTGAATGAACCTTGTGCTAACTGTCTGAGAAGGAGGATCCAGGGTTTTGAGACATGGCCGTGATGGGAAAGGAAAAGATTGCTTACAATCAAATTTTATTTGTATCCCCATAGCCCTGTGGTTGTATAGACCTTAGAAAGCCCAAACTTGGAAAACCTAGTGACTGAAGACTGACATCATATGAAATTACCTTTATTCGTGTCTCTCTCTCTTTTTTTTTTTTTTTTATATTCGTGTCTCTTAAGCAACTTAATCTGTTGATGGGTGGAGAGTGAGCTAGGAAAGGTCTCTTCACATAACCTTGCTTCTCTTATTTTTGGTAGGCTTTTCCTTTATTATTTACGAGATCATGAGAATATATTACTTTGTTCATTTTTGTCGGGTCTAGGGTTATCTTCTGGTGATATTAACTCTGGGAACGCATCTAGATGTACACAGAAGAGTGTTTGGGTTAAAGAGGAAGTGTTCTTCTCATGTTATGTTCTTTAGATATGTTCTAAGGCTGCCTTTGATCTCTAAGGAATTGTTTTTGGGTGTGAGTTGTTGTGTAAAACATCACCCACCACTAGAAGATGGGGGTCAAAATGCTTGTCCTTCCTGTGCCTTTTCTAGGAATCAAAAGATAGCTTAACCGAGGAAAGGCAAGTGGCTTCCTTTCCTGTTTGGTTTCTTTGTTGCCGGTATTTCTCCCCACTCTCTTTACAGCCTATGAAAGTGTTATGCACTAAACAGGGATATTTGTTTGCTTTTAACATAATTCTGTATGTTAAAAGAATTTTTAAAGTTAAAAATTCTGAGTTTTATATTAATCATTAAGATTAAAATCATGTGGATTATTTCAGCAAAGGAATGTGTTCATGTGGCGCATGTATGACACTGTCTGAACACACGCATTTAAGACATATGTTTAAAAGTCCTCACCTGAAATCTATATAATTTTATTAACCAACTGTAGTCCCAGTGCACGAAATTCGTGCATGGAGGTGTGTCCTTCAGCCCAGCCTGCACCCTTTCCAATCTGGGACCCCTGGAGGGCAGTCGGACATCCTTCTCACAATATAAGACTACTGGCTCCCACTGCTCACCTGCCCACTTTCCTGATTGCCCCTAACTGCTTCGGCTTGCTAGCCTGATCACCCTCTAACCACTCCCCTGCCATCCTGATTGAGACCTAACTGCTCTGCTGCCAGCCTTTTTGCCCCTAACTACCCTCCCATGCAGGCCTGGTCACCCGTAACTGCCCTCCCCTGTAGGCCTGGTCCCCCGCAACTGCCTTTTCCTGCAGGCCTGGTCGCCCCCAACTTCCCTCCTCTGCTGGTCACCCCTAACTGCCCTCCTCTGCAGGCTTGATCACCTCCAACTGCCCTCCCTTGCAGACCTGGTCCCTCCTAATGCCCTCTCCTGCTGGTCATCTTGTAGTGGCCATCTTGTGTCCACATGGGGGCAGTCATCTTTGACCACATGGGGGCAGCCATCTTGTATGTTGGAGTGATGGTCAATTTGCATATTATATTCTTTTATTATATAGAATTAGATAGGATAGAGGTCTGGTGCATGGGTGGGGGCCAGCTGGATTGCTCTGAAGGATGTCCCAGATCAGGGTGGGGATTCCCTTGGGGTATGGGGCAGCTTGGGTAGGGGCCTGTGGTGCTTGTAGGCTGGCCATGGCCCTTGGCGACCCAAGCAGACGCCCTGGTATCTGGGATTTATTTATCTTCTATAATTGAAACTTTGTAGCCTTAAGCAGAGACCAAGGCCGGCCAGGGCAGGCAGAAAGCTTGGCTTCCTCCATTGCCAGGGAAACCAAAGCCTCCTGCTTTCTTCGTGGCCACAGACATCTTGGTTGGGTAAATTTGCATACTCACTCCTGATTGGATGGTGGGTGTGTCTTGGTGTAGAAGAGGTATGGTCAATTTGCATATTACTCTTTTATTAGATAGGATATCACCCCAATAAATTCATTAAAACACACACACACACACACATACACACAACATAGTCAAAGCAGCACCAGCTCCTGTCCATGTTGGCCCCAGGACAGCTTACCCAGGCTTTGACAGCAGGCTTCAATCCAGAGAAGAAAGGTTCTGGAAAAGTTGTTCTAAAAAAAATTTACTTTGATGTAAAAAAAAAAAAAAAAAGTGTGTTAATAATTCATTGAATCAGAATAGTGTTGTTTCAGTGAATGAATGAGTTTACCACACTCTACCATATATAATATACTCTGTAAGTCCCGGGTATAAAAAGATATTCCTCAGAGTACTAGTTGCACATGTGAATCATGACAGTGTTATTTCAGTGAAATAACGTATTCGTATTGTGGTTATTGTAACATACTGTGTATAATGAGAAGCATAAAAGATACGTCTGTCCTAACCAGTTTGGCTCAGTGGATAGAGCATTGGCTTTTGGACTAAAAGTTCCCAGGTTTGATTCCAGTCAAGGGCATGTACCTTGGTTGCGGGCACATCCCCAGTAAAAGGTGTGCAGGAGGCATCTGATCAATGTTTCTCTCTCATCGATGTTTCTAACTCTATCCTCTCCCTCTCTGTAAAAATCAATAAAATATATTTAAAAAATAAAATAAAATATACTAAGAGTGCCAGTTGGGGGAAAAAAATCATGCTGAGGTTATAAAAATAATTCTGGGATAAAAAGTGTCAGATGATCATTATAAAAATGAAAATAAAATATATATGATCATGTCCAAAGAAAATTATTCCATATCTACCTCTATCAGAAATGATCGCTGTATACATTTTATTAAATATCCTTCTGATACCTCTGTGAATATATACATTTACATGAAATTTAAAATTTTACATAAACAGGATCACATTATGCATGCTCTTTAATAACCTACTTTCTCCCCCACCTCCAGCAATGTCAGCACCTTTCTATAAGAAACCTACATTATTGTTAATGACCTTATTTTATTTAATTAGTCCTACTGATGATGGGCATTTAAGTTACTTCCAGTTGTTTCCCCTCAAGGAAGACGCTTCAGTGAATATCCTTATGCCTTCGTCTTCTTGTCCTTTTCATATAAATATTACCTCTTAGAGTGAACTTTCAGAAGTGAGGTGTATGTTTATACATATTGCCAAGCTGCCTCTAAGAAAGGTCATCCACATTCATATTCCCACTAATAGTACCCAGTTTACAAAACACAGGTTTAATGAGGGTCTGGGGATATGACCTTTCTTTCTTTCTTGCTTGCTTGCTTGCTTGCTTTTTTTCTTTCTTTCTTTTAAAATATATTTTATTGATTTTTTACAGAGAGGAAGGGAGAGAGATAGAGAGCTAGAAACGTCGATGAGAGAGAAACATCGACCAACTGCCTCTTGCACACCTCCTACCGGGCATGTGCCCGCAACCAACGTACATGCCCTGACCGGAATCGGACCTGGGACCTTTCAGTCCGCAGACCGACGCTCTACCACAGAGCCATATTTTTTGGTATTTTTTCTTCTTTGGGGCATTTGAATTTATTTTACCTTTTTACATTGCCATCTGATTTCTATCTGGAATTTATAATGGAGTTAGGCACAAGAAAGGATCTAGCTTTATTTTTTTCAATTATCATGCCACTTGTTCCAACAGTAACTTATTGACTGTTCCATTTTTTCTCATTGATATGAGTCATTAGAATTTTTAAAAAATAAATCTTTATTGTTCATATTATTACAAAAGTTCCTCATTCCCCCCCCACCAGGTTCCCACCCCACCCTCTGCCCTTTCCCCGCCCCCCCATTTTCCTCATCCATAGGAGCACATTTTATGTTCAGTCTCTTCCCGCACCCCCCACTCCTCTTTTCCACGAGAATCGTCAGTCCACTCCCCTTCCATACCTCTGATTCTATTATATTCAACAGTTAATATTGAAAGTATATGCCTTATAAAAACCAGAATCATTCATTCATCTATCAGGTTTACCTATACAGAGCTGGAGTACAGTTTGTAAAACCATGATCTTTTCAATGAACTCTAGAAGGCTTAAATTCTACATAGAGAAACAGTGGCCAGCTATAGCATCTGTCCCCTTACGTGTCGTTGGGTCAAGCAGAGTTGGAGGTGATGGAGACGAGGGCCCCTGAGGCATTTGACCAGCCACTGGAGGATATATAGAGAGCTCTGTGGACACTTCGTCAGTGACTATAAGCAGGCAGTTGCTTGGTGTTCTCCAGAGCACCACTGAGAACATGGGAGGTGTCAGAAGGCACGGAAGTCAGATTGTGTGTCTTTATGATTCTTCTCAGACTGCATAAACTTGTAGTCCTATGGGGAAGATAAGAAAATAATCAGATGGTCACAAAATAAATAGAATTACCAACAGTGATCATTCTCTAAAGGAAAAATAGAGTGTGCAGCAACTTTAAAAAGGGGGTATCAATTTAGAATCGGGATATGGAGAGAGGTTCTCTGAGAAAATAGTAGTGAAGCAGACCGGAAAATTGAGGTGTTAGCTAGAAAATGCAAGGAAGCAAGTTCCAAACTGAGGAGTACCACATAGGAAGTACTGAGTATGAAAAGAGCTGTGGTACTTTGAAGAAATGAAGGAAGTGTGGTTGGGATGTTATGAGGAGAAGAAAATGATGCAGAAGAAAGAGCCTTGAAGAAGTAGGACTTTTTTCTTCTTCATTGAATTGATCTAGTCCCCCATAGAGAGTTGACATCAAGGCATTTGTATGTTGTTTGGCTTTGGGGTGGAGGGAGAGTGGAGTTGGGTCAAGTAGAAATATCAGTTTAAAATACTTTCAAATCTTTCCAAT